AATGATGATGGCAACATATGTACAAATGTGTTTGACACAATGATTGAATGTATGGATTGTAAAAAGAGATGTAAGAGCCCTTAATAAAAGTATTTAATTAAAAAATAAAATAGAAAAGAAACAGTCATTTTCTTGTTTGGGGAGAAAACATCAGATAGACATATCAGTACTATTTTTATAAATATTTAATCTTTTATGAACTAACTAAACTAAGAATAAGCCAAATATAAATTACTTTGGGAATAGATGAATATATGCAGAATTTTTAGGGTAGAGAACCTGAAGTAAAAGAAATTACACTGAATTCCAATTGACATTTGTAGGGGAATGTTTGTATTCTTTCATTTTTCTTTCAGCCTGTATGTATCTCTCACATATACAACTGCATACATGACTCTGTGTACACAAACACTCAAAGCTAGTGTTTAAATATAATGGAATCAAACAATTATCTATTTACTAAAGAGCCAAATGAATGTAATCAATGAATAACTTACTGAATCTTTCAGTTCAAGCTCAAAGGAGTCATATATAAACTCAATTACAAATTTTAAATGTAGTTAACATTTAGGAAACAACCAACCACATATAGGATGCTGTTATATATGAGTTCCATATGTTTATTCCAAGCAAAATGTGTTTATGAATGTTTCTCTGATTTCCACAAGTTATCTCTATAATACATTTATCTTGTTGGGTGGCTTCAAAAGGAAAAGGCTCTGAGGGATATGCTGGGCAAGTGAAATTCAAGGTAGTGAGGTTAGTTTAGAAGTGGTGACTGTTTTTGGGGGGTGATACCAAAAGAGTAATTGATAAATTTTCTCAAAAAACATAATGTAACCACGGGGGCTTATTAGGGAATTTTAAGAAATTTGAAAACAGCATTGTTAAGAAAAAGGACAGTAACGTTGAATCAAATAATTTTCTTTTCCATCATGGCAATGCACCTGAGGGTTCCAGGTAATTTCCCTGGAAACTCACCGCATCAACCCTACAACCCTAATCTTGCCCTTTCACACTTCTTTCTCTTCCTTAAACTCAAAGTACACTTAAGAGGAACATGATTTGAGTTTCTTGAGGATGCCAAAACTGCCCTTTTTAACGTTGTATAAATCAAAGGACAAGATTGTTTGGGAGAGGGTCACCCAGTGTCACAGAGTTTATTTCAATTTCTAGAAACCCCATAATTGATTTCTGAGACTGTGAATCTTTGTGGGAGCAGGCAGTTCCATCCTTCTCCCACCATGGCTAGTTGCGTTCAATTACCGACTTTGTGGTTAGCAGCCCAATGTATAAATCCTCAGTGCCACTAAGGGAAAGGGTATCGAGATGGAATCTCTGCCTTCAGAAATATATAGACCTAGATGAAGGATATGTTGAGAGCCAATAGCTTCACATTTTGATATTTTTTGTTTAATAAAGTTTCTATTTAGAAACCCAATGGTTTACTGGGTAACAAGTTCTGTTACTAACAGCAAGGTCAACAGTTTGAACCCACCAGTTGCTCCACAGGAGACAGATGAGTTTCTCTGCTTCCAAACTCTGTAGCCTCAGAAAACCACAGGGGCAGTTTTACTTTATCTTTAAGGGTCACTTAAGAGTTGGAGTCAACTTGACAACAGTGAGTTTGGGGTGTATTTGAATAGTTTTACAGACTCCAAACTCGGACTCCTGCATCACTGGATCACATTTGGGTATGGACAGGTGAGGACATGGTTCTGGATACCATCTCTAAGACTTTCTGTGGTGGTTTGATGTTCTGCTAAGCCAAATCTGCTCGAGCTTCTTGGGTTCTCACGCATCTGGAACAGTGGGCTTTCATAATGGGTTAACATGATATTTACATTATGCCCAAATTATATAACATCTTATTTAACAGAAAGTATCATGGATATTAATCAATGCATACCTATGTCCCAGAAGGACCTATGCCATGAAAAATATTATTTACTTTGTGCTTCCCCTTGAACTGGCTGTTGCTCATAATTCCTTTATGACGTCATCACTCAACCTCAGCAGTTTAAATTCACAAACCTGAAGTCCTGGCAACACATAGGCAGGGAAATGTCGGCTCCATGGTTGTAAGTCTTTTAAAAGTATTTATATATTTGTATTTGTAATTCCTGTTTTTAATTCAATTTGACTCAAAGACTAAACTCATTGCTATCATAAGGCAGAGTACCACTGCCCCTCAGAGTTTCTCAGATTGTATCTCTTATCAGGCGTTGAAAGTTTCCTTTTTACCCTGTGGTTGCAAACTGCTGACCTTGCGGGTCGCAGCCCAACTTGTAACTCAATTTGATTAGACACTTATATTTTTAAATGTAAATAATGTCTTCAATGGTAATTTCATTTACAGGTTACAATTTATATTTAAAATAGAATTATGAAGTTGCCATTAATATATTGTGTGCTTCGGAATTAGATTTAGCTAATTCGTGCTCTTTCATAAATAGATGTATGACCTTAGCCATTTTATTTATTTAATCTCACCTTCCTGTGACCTCGTGTTTAAGAAGAATAGAAGGAATTAATTTGAAATGTAAAGCAGGATACAATATAGTAAGATTCTATTATAATAGCTTGATATATTTAACTATGTGTGTAAGGTAAATGAGATTATTTTATTTTTCTGATAGAGTGAATGTTTTGTATTATGACAAATAAAGGAAGTATAGTGCATTTATTTTTAAATAAGTAATTAATTGATGTCAAAATAATATTAATATAGAATTTAAAATATCTTGTAGACTTTACTAGCTACTTTCATTCTTAGTCTTTAGTTCAAAAAGGTAAATTTCTTCTACGATAATATTGTTGATATATATATATATATATATGCATATATCTACTATGTTGACTTGGAGCTACTAGATAATATTCCTATGTATTGACCAGGAACTCAATGCCATCGAGTCAATATTGACTCATAGCAACCCTTTGGGGGTTCCAAGACTGTAACTTTTGATGACCACTATACCACCAGGGCTCCTAGTGGATAAAATCCCTATGCATTAAGCTGAACTTTATGAAATTGTCAATAGTTAACCGTTTGTGGCCTCAAACTCACTGTCATCAATTCTGACTCATAAAGACTCTCTAGGATCGGGTAAAACTGCCCCTGTGGATTTCCTACACTGTGACTCACTACCAGAGTAGACTTTGCAACTAACAGCCCAGCGCATAACCAAAATGTCACTGAGGTTCCTTTATTTGTTCTTATTTGGGGGGGGGGGTTTGGATATAAAATGAAAGTGTCATATGATTCGACCTCATATGAAAAGTTTACAAAATTCAAAGTACTATTATTGTGGCATAAATTCAGAAGACATGTGCAGGCAATTCACAGAAAAAGAAATATGAAAAGGAACACCCATTGACTTGTGAAAAGGTACACAACTCCAATAATAAAAAGGCAATTTAAGAAACCTTTGATGCAAAAATTCAAAGTCTTGGAAATTATTTCTCAGAAAGGAAAAAGTTATTTTTCTCCTTTTTAAATGATATACTTCTGAACCATTAACAATTTTCAATAAATGTTTATTATTTTAGAATCAGAAAAGTTAATAAAAGTTAAAAGAATAATAAAAACCTAGAAATTAAAAGTTAGCTCCCCAAATTAAGTTCCTAGAAACACTGGTTCTTTAATAAAGACATGTTCAGTTTGATGCTGTGAACATCTAATTCTTCTTACATCACAAAGACCTCAGGATTATGTCACCATTGGCTATTGTCTCTTTGAAACTCGCTGCCATCAACAAACCTTCCCTGTATCCTCTTCGACTTTTTATCTGAATGATATGATCACCTTGTTTTATCTGAAACCCCAAATCTCCTTCAAACACACTGACTTTCCTGCAGTTCTCTCAAGTCAGATAATTTCTTTCCCACATACTCTGCTGTCACTGGTCCTAAATGCCATTTCTGGACTGTTCTTTCTTACTCTTGAAGAATTAGCCAGACTTGTCTCAAGTCATCAGATTATATCACTTACTATCTTTTCTTATTTTATGCATATACTGAGCCCCAGTTACTTCCTGCAGTTTTTTACATCCCCCAATATAGCCCACTTTGATGTCCTTCAATAGTACTCTTTTCTTGATTTATTATTATTTCACTATGTAAGTAATAAATCTCATACTCTGACTTCCCAATTATTTTACTTGGTCCTATACACTTATTTTGTCTTTTATGCTCAGTTGCTCCCTAGCATACACTTGTATACCCTATGAAATCTCAATTTTAAACAATTCACTCTCAAACTACTGCCTTAGATACCTCTAATATATCTACGAAAATAATTCTACCCCAGTAAAGCTACAATTGATTTTCCAACCTGTTCTCTGATGACTTTACTTGTGCTTTTACCCATCACGAGAATTATATATTTCTATTCTTACAAGTACATGGTGGATCAATACAGATTATCCTTTGCGAACATCTCAACTCCTTACACAACTCTCCTTTTCACATCTCTTCCCCAAACCCTGATTTTATACAATCCAACTTTCATGTTACTCCACATGTACACCTCTACAATATAAATATGTATGGGTGGGGCGGAATATAACCATGATACCTGATTTCAATTTGAATTTAAGATGACAATCCCTGAATGGGCTTGTAACAATATCTGGCAGCTCTCAATTGTTAGTTATTGTTCTCACTAATTGATGTAGTAAATCTATTTAAAATTTTCCTCATGTTCACTGCCGTCTCTACTGAAAAAGTGGTATAAATGCTCTTAATTCTATCAACATTCTCCTCAATGCAATCTTGCTTTTATTATTAAACACCTCAAAACTCTTCCCATATTTACTCATAGCTCCGGTCTAAAATCACTGTCACATTTTAGGTATTTATTATACAACAGCACCATAGCCTAGGTATAAAAATCTGTATTAATTTTGGGGGGCTGTCAATGATTACTCCTTATGATGTCTCTGAGAAAATATGTGTTTCCTGCCTTCCTCTTAGTTTCTGGTGATGACCAGCAATCCTTAGTAGTTTCTCGGCATCACTTCTATTTGTCTTTAACTTCATATTGCTGTCTTCTCTCTGTGTCTGTCTGGGTCTCTTCTCTATTCGTAAAGGTACCAGCTATATTGGACCAGGGCCCATCCTACTCCTGAATGATCTCATATTAACACCTGCAAGGATGGGTCCTTAAGTAGGGTTCTCTGTAGAAGGAAGTGAAGGTTATATATCTACAGAAATAGAGAAACGTATATCAAGAAAAAGGCTCATACAGATGTTGAAACAGGCAAATTCCAAGCCTGGGCAAGTTCCAAGTCCAAGTGTGATATGTTATGTTGGAGGCTTCTCCTGACTCATACAGCTGCATGGGGTAATGAACCAAAGATTGGCAGAAAGGTGACAGACCTGTGACTTTAAAGACAAATTGATTCCAAGATCAGCAAGTCAGATGTCAGGCCACTCATGACACACAGGATCACCAGGCAATATGACAGACACATCATTGAATAAATTCCAAAGAACTGGAGTTCAATGAACCAGATACAGGTTATAAACCCAGCAAAAAGCAAGCAAGCTTGTAGATAGCATCCAGTTATATTAGAAGTAGAGCGCACTCCCATTGAAACTCTTTCAATTGATTCAATCAATTAAGATTTTGATCTGAGTAAGGAAGTTGCATTCCACCCTAATCTTCTTACAACTGATCCTGAGTATATCACATTATGGAGATGATTAAATTGCATTAGATCACATGCTAGATTACTACAATCCTGGTCCAGCCAAATTGACATAAAACTTAACCTAACTATCACATACTGTTTCTAAATAAGTAACATCCACAAGTACCAAGGTTTAGGGGCTTAAAAAATATTTTTTGAGGGACACAGATAATCCCATAGTAGACTCTACATTAATGATAAACATAGGTTTGAAATTTTATTTTCTGGTAAAGGTCTTACCAAGCCTTGGTATTAAGGTTATGCTCTCATAGAACATGTTGTTAAGTGTTCTGTCTCTTTTTTTGTTAGTTTGGAAGAGTTTTAAATAAAAATTGTTGTTTTTTTCCTTTTTTAGGTATTTGGGAGAATTTACCAAAGAAACCATCTGGACCTGGAGTTCTTGTTTTCAGTAAGTTTTAAATTATTGGATCAGTCTTTGTTGAACATACTTTTCAGGTTTTTCTATTTTCCCTTCCATATGTTTTCTTATTCAATGAGTATTATCTAATTTTATTTAAGAATTTAAATTCACTGACAGAAAGATATTTTCCTAATTTCAGTGATTTCTACTTTTATCTTAGTTATTTTTCTCCCACATACTTTTGCTTTAACTTGTTCTACTTCTAGCTTGTTGAGATAAATATTTAGATGGTAGATCTCTTTTCAGCCTCATATGATATGATTAAAGTCCTTGAAAATAAAAAGATTTAAATAACCAACTTACATTATGGATTAGAATTTTAAACTCTATGAAAGTGAAAGTTGTTTTTTCCAAAGTGTGAAAGCAGCTGCACAGTCAGCATAGCAGATGTTTAGATCGTCAAATTTCCAGAATTTCAGGCCATAATCTCTTAAAGCTACTCTAACAACTGAATGTGGTTTGACCAAATATTAATAGAACATTGATCAACTATCTTTTGGAAAATGGTCAAAAATGAAATGTAACATATAAAGATTGATATTCTAGGAGACAGTGAGCTGAAAATGACCGGCATGGACCATTTTGAATCAGATAGGCATATGGTTACTCTACTAGGAAAGATGTATTAAGAGTGACACTGTCAAATTCATCATAAATAAGCACATCTATCTTGAAGTACAATGCTGTCTGTGATAGGATAATATTTATCCAAATACAAGGAAATCCAATCAAGATAACTATTATTCAAACTTATGCAGCAAACACTGAAGCTAGTGAAGAAAAAATTGAAGAATTGACCAGTGTCTTCAGTCTGAAATTGATCAAATTGATTAAAACATGCTATCAAGGTGCACTGATAACTACTGATGATTGGAACGAAAATCGGAAACAAAGAGTAAAGAGTAGCTGGAAAATATGGCCTTGATGATAGAAACAAAACGAGATCACATGATGGAATTTTGCAAGACCAGCAACTTCTTCATCACAAAGACCTTTTTTCAACAACACAGACAGCTACACACGTGGACTTGTCCTGATGAAATAAAGAGAAATCAAATTGACTTCATCTGTGGGAAGAGACCAGGGAGAAACTCACTATCAGTAACTAAAGTGAGGTTAGGGGCCGACTGTGGAGCACACCATTAATTGCTCATATGCATGTTTAGGTTGAAGCTGAAAGAAATTAAAATAAGTCACCAAGAACCAAAATACAATCTGGAACATGTACCACCTGAATTTTGAGAACATCTCAAAAAAAAAGGATTGATGTATTCAGCACCGATGACAGAAGACCCAATGAGCTGGGGGATGACATAAAAAAATGTCATGTATGAAAATGACAAAAGCCTTTAACAAGACAAGAACCAAAGAAAAGATCTAAATTGATGTCAGAAGAGACACGGGAACTTGTGCTTAATCACAGAGTAGCTAAATAAAATGGGGTGGAAAGATGTAGAAAATGGTGAACATAAATTTTTAAAGGGAAGCTCAAGAAGACAAAATAAAATATTATAATGAAATGTGCAAGGACTTAGAGATAGAAATCAAAAAGGAAGAACACACTCAGCACATCTGTAGCTGAAATAATTGAAAACATTTTTCAGGCATCAAGTTGCAATATTGAAAGTTTCTATGAACAAAATATTAAAAAATTCAGGAAGCATCAAAGGAAGATTGAAAGCATACACAAGGTCACACTACCAGAACATACTAATCTACATTTAATCATTTCAAGAGGAAGCATATGATCAAAAACCATAGGTACACTGAAGAAATTATCCAAAAACAAGGCTCCAGGAAAAGATCAAATATGATTAAGAAAGTTTCAACAAGCTGATGAAGCAGTGGGAGCACTCGGTTGCCTATGCCAAAAACTTTGGAAGATAGCTACTTGCCAAACTATTTGTACCCATTCCAAAGAAACGTGACCCAACTGAATGCTCAAATTATAGAACCATATCTTTGCTATCACATGCAAGTAAAATTTTGCTGAAGATCATCTAACAGTTGATAACAGCAGCAATACATTGACAGGAAACTGCCAGTGATTCTGGTTAAATTCATAATATCAGATGGATCTTGGCTGAAAGGAGGGAATACCAGAAAGATGTTAACTTGTGTTTTATTGACCATGCAAAGGCATTCAATTGTGTGGATTAAAATAAGAATAGGAATTCCAGAACACTTAATTGTGCTTGTGGAAAAAGCACTGTATGGGAATATTGCATGTTTTAGAATCAATAAAATTGTCATATTTCTATCCTCTAATCATACTTATTCAATCTGTATGCTGAGCAAATAATGAGCAGAAGTTGCATTATAGTAAGAAGAATGCAGTATCATGATTGGAAGGAGGCTTATTAACAATTTGCAATATACAAAGGACATAACCTTGCTTGCTGAATAGAAGGACTTGAAGCACTTGCTGATAAAGATCAAAGCTTGCAGCCTTCAGTATGGATAAGAATTCATTGTAAAAAAAACCAAAATCCTCACAACTGGACCAAAAGATGACATCATTATAAATGGAGAAAAGATTGAAGTTGTCAAAGATTATATCTTGCTTGCTCATGGAAACATCCGTCAAGAGATCAATTGATGCACTGCATAAATCATCTGCACAAAACCTCTTTAAAATACTGAAAAGCAAGGATATTGCTTTCAGGACTAAGGTGCACATGACTCAAGACAGTATTTTCAATTGCCTCACATTCATGTGTACATTGGGAATTGAATAAGGAAGACTGAGTAAGAATCGATGCCTTTGAATTATGATGTTAGAAATGATTATTGGAAGTAGCATAGAATGCTCCTTAAAAGCAACAGTAGCTAGATTTCTTACATACTTTGGACATGTTAGCAGCAGAGACCAGTCCCCGGAAATTACTATCATGCTTAGGAAAGTAGAATGGCAGCACAAGAGAGAAAGACCCTCGACAAGACGGAGTGGCACCATTGCTGCAGCAATGGACGCTAGCAGAAATACAGCCATGCAGATGGTGAAGGATGGGGCATTGTTTCATTCTGCTGTGTGTAGGGTCGCCAGGAGTCAGAGCCAACTTGACTCTACCTAACAACAATAATCACTTATTCATCTAGAGTAGAAAAGCTGGGTCATGAACTGTAAATATACGTTCTTACATAAGTACATCGGAAAAAAAGAACATTTACAAATTGATATTGCATTTGTATTCACAATAATAATGGTTTTTATTGTTAGCCATAGTAAAAATTCGATTAAAATATATTATCTCTTTTCAATAGACAAGAAGTAAACATCAGAATACATTGTAATTCCACTCCAAGTAAGAATTTCATTTTTTGAGTTTGACATTTATTTAGATTATATTTGAAAATAAGTTTAGGTATAAATAATTATTGTCTTTCATGAAATATGGTAAAGCAGAAAATGTCCTGAATTTTTATCAAATTTGAATAGTAGCATGTATTTGTATGTGTGTCTCTGTGTGTATGTTGGTGTGAGTATGTAGAACATTTCTGATATTGTACTAGCTGTTTTCTTCCTGTAAATACAAACCCACCTTATGCATACAGTTTCCTTGTGTTCAAAATTCACAATCAAAATACATAATATTACAACTTTAGGAAATTTTAAAATATATTTAACTGAAATATCTCTGCACTTCTGCAACTCTTATTCTAACTTTTCTGTAAGGAAATGCACAAAATAAATACATAACAGGTAATTAAGAAAGAGGGTTCTAGGGTTCAACTACTTTTGCTAACTTACAGCTTTATAATTATGAAGAAGTAACTTAACCAATCTGTATTTCACTTGCCACATCTGTAAAATCAAATTATCTACTTGAAAGCTTGTTGTGAAGATTAAATAAGTCTCAGAGCACAGTTTGACATATAGTAAGCACTATGAAAATGTTAGCAGTTGTGGTTATATTAGTTTTAATACTGTTACACTTCTACATAACAACTCCGCATTTGAATATAGTGATCACATCTCTTATTAATATTCTCATCTCCAGGAAAACTATCCTTAGTGTCCTCACTAGTTATTCTTTTGACATAATTGTCATTGAATTTTATCTTCCTAAATACCCTATTCTGTCTACAGACTGTCATTAAATAAAATTCTCAAAAGTAAACGTAGTATTTACATCTATATTATGGGAAACATGAAGGAGAAGCAACATTTCCTGCAATATAATCAAAATGACATAAAAGAAAAGATAGAAAAGAGGATAGAGATGTTATGAAGAAATAGTGAATCTTTTCTTTTTCCATTTTTGTCTAATTATGTTATTCAAATCACTATGATTTAAATGAAAATTTATTTAATCTGTAACATGAAATTGCAATGTCATTTAACATAATTCATAGCTAAGTGGGAAAATGAGATTTTATTTTCCTTAATCGGTGTGCAAATAAACTACAAACCACAGGCAAAAAAGCTATATTTTAAGGTATAACTTAATCTAATACAAATGATATATTTTTTGCTCATAAATATCTTAATTCTGATGAAAGTCTGGCTATTAACTCCAAATTACATTTTGTACTGTCTTATTTTAGTCAGTTCATCAAACAGAAAATTATGGAATATAAAAAATTTTCTTTCGACATTTCCCAAACCACCTCAGCAAGATAGAAAAAAAACATCCAGATCTTTGGAATTTCGAGACACAGTTCCTGTAAGTATTGAATAATTCAACTTTTAAATTAAATGTACCTTTGCAAAACTATATTAAAAATAAGTTATATGTAATTTAGATTTTAATACTTGTAGGTTATAGATTACTTTTTTAATTAAAATTCCCTGTGTAGCAGATTGAGCTCACCTGTTTCAGATTGAATTTTATTTATACGTCATTCTCCACATCAAAGGCATTACATTTCTGAGACTAAGAAAGCTAAAAGCACCTAACATTGCAATTAGTGTGATCTCTCAGGGAAGATGTTTACCAGTGACAAAATCATTCAAAATTCAAATCTTAGAGCAGGAGTAAATCTTGATTGATGTTTTAGGGCCTCCCTATTTTTTAAAATGGGAATTCAGGATAGTGGGTACTTGAAGATTCTTGTTTCCTACTCATTGTATACGGTGGAGGTATCCTATCAATTAACAAAAAAGAAAAAACAACCCACTAACACACAGGATTTACCTATGGAGATTAAAAATATTTTTTAAAAAATATTCTCCTGATGTAGAGTTGGAATCATGGCAATTATTCAAGGGCCATTATTATATTTTTAGTCAATCTATTTCCATGCGTCCCTTCATATTTGTTCTTTAGTTATATATGACCATATACTTGATTACCAGTACCTTGAATGAATAGCTGAAGGCATACAAGAAGTAAATCTAAGATAAATCTATGTGGCCAATTATGGAACTCAGATTTATAAAGATTTGAGTGATTTTTTAAAATTACACCACTGCTATAAGAATCAAACTTTTTGTTTTATTTTCTACTCTTTTTTTGTTTGTTGTTTTGTAGTATCTCACAGTAGAGGTCTCAGTCTCCCACATTGACCAGAAACCTTGAAAGCAAGAATAGAACTCACAAGAATTGTCATGACAAATGTCAAGGGGATTGGCTTGTTTCTAAGCTAACTTGGGGCGAAAATTGGGCCAAGTGTCAAAAAAAACCTCTACTATATACAGATCCACTCTAAATTCCCAGGCCCTGGATTGTCATGGGCCTCCTTCCATATTCATATAAACCATTGAGAGGACCTGAGTCACCTTGTGTCCCAAATTAAATGATCTCTCTGTGTCTTCTTACACAGAGATTTAAAGGAGAATAACGTGTTGTTTTCCATTATAAGTAAATCAAAGAAAAATTATACCATTTTGACATTTTGACAAGAAAAAATACAATACTCACTTATAAATGCTTGTTTTTATTTTAATCAATCTTTTCAGAGACAGGACAAAAGAAAACTAAAAGAAGATCCAAAGGAAGCTCATATACGGATAAGACGTTCTTTGAGAAAAAATGTCCATAAGCCAGGTATTTACTTCACTGCCAGGAGACAAGTTCCATTCAGATGTTCTTATATTCCTAAACCCCATTCTGGAAAGGCAGTAGCTAACGAGTCCAAAGATGACAAAAAAATTAAAGACATAAAGAACGAGTTTAAGAAAAAAATAGGTCAACATGCTACAACTCTAGAAACTAATGAAACAGTAGCAGATGAAAAATATGAAAGAAAGAATGAAGCAGTTAAAATCCCATCAAACCGATCACTTGGAAACAAAACATCAACATTCCAATCAGATACAAATTCGGGATTCATGTATCATATGGAGTTCTCAAAAAAAGATGAGAAAAATTTTAAAAACTACAAGGACAAAGATACTAAATTCATATGTACAAATACTGAGCCAAAGGAAAATTTTATAAATAGTTCAAACGAAGCTGAGGCTGAATTGGAAACTTGGCCCCCAAATATTTCAAATGCGGATTTGATAATGTATTTAAATGACCCTAATAGGGAATCCATGGAATTTGACGTATGGTTAAAGAATAACTCACAGAATAACTCAAAGGATGATGCCAAGAAGGTATCTGAGGGTCAATCTGAAGACTCAACGGATGCAAGAAGAGATAAGAAAAATGCAAGGAGTGACGCTAAGGAAGGTGCAACGAAGGACCAAGAGTCTACTACTGATGCGGATTCTGACCATTCAAAGGATCTAAATAGGGAAAAGAAAGCGCTTAAAAAAGGCAAAAAGATGGATGGAAGATATTACTCCGAGTCTACTGATGCTGAATCTGAATCTGAACTGGAGACAAAAAAGGGTAAGAAAGGTAAAACAGAATTAAAGAAAGACACTAAGAAGAAGCATGTAAAGAACGTACTATCTACTGAAGCAGACTCTGGATCTGAATTGGAGTTGAAGAGTGAAAAAGATGCAAAGAAGAGAGAGTCGAAGAAAGATAACAAGATTGCACAGAAGTCCTCCGTGTCTACTGATGCAGAAACGGACTCTGAATGGGAATCAAATCACAAGAAGGATGTAAAAAGTGCCATAGAGTCTACTGATGATGAATATGATGATTATACAAAGAAAAGTCCAAGAAGAGCATTATTCAAAGAAACAGATGCTGACTCTGATGAGTCAGTATGTACACCTGGAGGTAAGGGCCAAATGTATGAATCAGATGCCACATCCACAGATTCAAATGTACAAACGAAAGGTTACAGAATGTCATCCAAAAAGACCAAATTTAAAGGAAACGAGAAAGATACAGGCATAGGCAGAATTCCTCCGTCAAGAGAAAGCCGACCACTACCTCCTTGTGATCCTGTAAGACCACCACCTAAGGTCAGACGTTCCTATTGGGTATGTCCTTCATCTTCAAAGGCAAGACATGCTCCCTTGGTATGTTTCTCCTGTTTTATTTTTATCCTAAATTATAGAAGTATATGAAGTACACTTTTACAGGTTTGACTATATCCTCTTCGAAGAATAATTCTCTTTTGTGGAATAGAGTCAAGTTTGAGACCTGCAGGTAAGAAAAGTGAACAGTACTATAACAATTTCATGTCAAAACATTACAAGAATAGCAAATGCATACAGTGGATCAGAGGGAACTGGCTTGTGATTTAAGAAAAGTTTTTTAAGTTACTTGTAATGAGGGTACTTTTGTTTAAAATACTGGTTCATTGTTGCATAGTTGTAATAATACGCCCTAGAATTGATTCCAACTCATAGCAAACCCTATGTGCAACAGAACAAAGCAGTGTGATGTACTCTGATATACTCACATTGTTATTATCTCTGAACCCAATATTGGAGCTACTTTGTCAACCCATCCTGTCAACTGTCTTCTTCTTTTTCTAAGAACTTCTACTTTACCAATCATAATGTACTTTTCTAGGGACTGGTCTTTCCTTATAATATGTTCAAACTATGTGAGATGAAGTCTCACCATCCTCACTTCTGAGGTGTATTCTGGCTGTTCTGCTTCCAATACAGCTTTATTTATTATTTATTCTTCTGGCAGTCTGTGGTAGTTTCCCTGACACCCAATCCATTGGTATTCTCCATGGCATCATAAGCATATGAAAGTTGAACACTGAATAAGGAAGACTCTAGAAAAATCATTGCATTTGAATTGCAGTGCTGGAAGAGAAAGTACAATAGACTGCTAAAAGGGCAAACAGATCTGTATTGGACGAAGAAGAAAGGGTGGAGAGACTTCATTTTACATTCTTGGGACAGAGTGTCAGAAGAGACCAGTCCCAGGAGAAGGACACCGTATCAGGTAGAGTAGAGGGGCAGAGTAAAGAGGAAGGCCTTCAAGGAGATGGACGTACACAGTGGCTGCATCAATGGGCTAAGGCACAGGAACAATTGTGAGGATGGCGTAGGACTGTGCAGTGTTTTGTTCTGCTGTACATAGGGATACTGGGTTGGATCCAACTCAATGGCACCTAACAACAACACAGTACTTTCTTTTTTTAAAAATACTTTTATTGGCGACTCTTACATCTCCCATCACAATCCATACGTTCATCCATTGTGTCAAGCACATTTCTACATATGCTGCCATCATCATTTTAAAAGCATTTTCTTTCTATTTGAGGCCTTGATATCAGCTCCTCAATCTTCCCACTCCCTCCCCTCCCCTCCCTCCCTCCCGTATGAACCCTTGATAAGTTATGGATTATTATTTTCATATCTAATGTCATCCTCTGCTGCCCATCACCTACTTTCTGTTGTTCGGCCCCTGGGAGGGGGTTCGCAGTACTTTCAATACTTTTGCTAGCACCATATTTCCTGCCAGAGGTAATTCAACCCCTTCTACTTTAAAATAATCTATTTCAAGTTATCTCAGCCTCTTTATGGGTAAATACTCTCAGTTTATGTTTTCATGTCCTGCAATGGATTACCCCTTCTCTTCCTCCTTCAAAAAATAATCTCTATATTCTAAGTTCATGCAGATGTTGTGTGTGTACTTCGCGCGTGTGTGCACGTGTGTGTTAGTTCTGACTCATAGAAATCAAATACACAACAGAACAAAACACTTCCAGGGTCCTTACCAACCTCACAATTGTTATGTTTGTGCTCACTGTAGAAGCCACTGTGTCTATATATATCATTGAGGGTTTTCCTCATTTTCAGTAACTCTGTATTTAACAAAACCTGGTGTCCCTCTTCCGGGATTGGTCTCTCTTGGTAACGTGTCCAAAATACGTGAGATAAAGTCTTTCCTCCCATATTTCTTTTTTAAATCATTTTATTGGGGCTCATACAACTCTTATCACAATCCACACATACATGAATTGTGTAAAGCACACTTATACATTCATTGCCCTGATCATTCTCAAAACTCTCGCTTTCCGCATGGGCTCCTGGAATCAGCTCCTCATTTTCCTTTTCTCCCCTCCCTCCCCACTCTTCTCTCCATCATGAACCCTTGATAATTCATAAATTATTATTTTAACATATCTTACACTGTCCGGCACCTCCCTTCACCCACTTTTCTATTGCCCATCCCTCAGGGAGGAAGTTATAGGTAGATCCTTATCATCAGTTCCCCCTTTATATCCCCCCTTCCCTCTTCCCTCCGGTATCACCACTCTCACCACTGGTCCTGAGGAGTTCATCTGTCCTGGATTCCCTGTGTTTCCCGTTCCACTTTGTTTGGTGCTGTCAAGGCCATCCACAATTTTATGCACATATTATTATTTCTGCAGGTCTATCTAGATAAGATAGCTGGATAAACAATGTGGAGAAGAAAACAGCGGGATCAAGGGGGGACATGGGAGAGTGGGAGGTTGAGGAAGGGAGGAGGTGTTGGCCAACCCAGGCACAAGGGAACAACCAGTGGTTCAAAACCAGTGGCAGGGAGGGGATGGGAGGACTGGTAGGGAGTGACCAAGGGCAAGGTAACTGCGAGGAATTACTGAAACCAGAATGAAGGGTGAACATGGTAGTGGGACAGGAGGAAAGCATAAGGAAATAGAGGAAAGGAGTAGGAGACAAAGTGGCACATAAGAACACAGCGACGGCAGCAACACTGACAAACTAACAAATAAAAAAGCCACTGACATACAAAATCTAAAAGAAGAGAAAAAAATTAATAAAAAAATTTAAAAAACAAAGGAAGAAAGAAAAGCCTGTTAATAGTTCAAGGTCTGTTTGTTGACCTTTAGGAGTGTTTTCTGGATGAGTCTGATGGGGTGCCACGCCCTGGCCCCAAAGTCCATCCTTGATACTTCCTCGGGACCTCCTTGCTCTGCTTCCCCCACTGCTCTATTGCACGCCCCCAGTGTTTTACCTCAGTGTGGTGGGGTCAGCTCGGTCTCACATCCTACACTGTGTCTCCGGTGCTGTCCCGTGTAGGGCCATGGGTCAATGCAGGATGTCGCATCTCGCAGTGGGGCCGGCCATATGTTCTTCTCTGTGCATTGGCCGCTCCGAGCCGGGCTATTGTCCTCTGAGCTTGGTGGGCCCTGGTGTGCTCCACTCCCTTCCTCCCACTTCATTTGTTTCAGCTTCCTTCTGGGTATGGTAGGTCCCAGATGATCTATTTTCATTTTCTGTGGCACACCCTTCCATGGTGGGGGTCGGGCTGATTCTGGTTGAGGCTGGGCATATGGTCCAGTCTCTGTGGTTTCCTCCATGCGTTATATTGCCCTCCTGGCTTGGCGCATCATGGTGGGGTCTGTATGCACATTCCAGTTCTGTGGGGACACAACCAATACTCTCTCCCTGGGTGGATTAGGACCCTGTTTCCCCCATGTCATCAACTCAGTTTCTCCCCACCCCGATTCTCCCTCCTCCTTCCTCCCTTCCCCTTTTTTATCCTGGACTCTCATGTACCTCCTTGGATGTGGTCTGCCATCCCCCCAACTATCTATGCTTCCACCCATTTATTGCGAGATAAGTGTCTATTCTTCTATTCCTGCCGTACAGGGGACTCATGTTACACCTGTCCTTTTGAGATTGGCTTGCCTTGCTTAACATGATTCCTTCAGCTCTTCCCACGAAATGACGTGTTTCATGTGATTGTCCATGTTTTTCAGTGCTGCATAGTACTCCATTGTGTGTATGCGTCAGAGTTTACTAATCCACTCATCTATCGATGGAAACGTAGGCTGTTTCCAAATCTCTGCGATAGTGAACTGTGCCACAATAAACATTGGAGCACAGATGACTGATCATGTTTTATTTGTTACCTCCACTGGGTATATATGTCCAGTAGAGGGATGACTGGGTCATAAGGTAGATCAATTTCCATTTTCTTTAAGTATCTCCAGACTGCTTTCCACAATGACTGTACAAATCTACACAACCACCAGCAGTGGAGAAGGGTTCCGACTTCACCACAGCCCCTCCAACACTTGTTGTTCTCTGATTTACTGACTTGGGCTAGCCTCAGGGGTGTTAGGTGGTATCTCATGGTTATTTTAATTTGCATTTCTCTTGTGGCTAATGACCAGGACACTTTCTCATATGCTTGTTGGCCATGTGGGTCTCCTCCCTAGTGAAGGCTCTTTTCAGTTCTTTTGCCCACTTCTTTAGGGGGTTAACTGTTTTCCATTTTTTGCAGGTCATGAGGGTGTTATAGATTTTAGTAATGAGCCCTTTGTCCAATGTGTCATTACTAAAAATCCTGTCTTAGCCTGTGGGTTGTCTTCTCACCCTCTTGGTGAAGTCTTTCGAGGTGCATAGGTGCTTTATTCTTATTAAATCCCATTTGTCGATTTCTAGTTCACCTGTGTGTGTACCCTTCCCTATTGCAGTGAGCCTATGAGTTCCCTGGGCCAGTGCTCTCAGGTTTGTCCCGATTCCCTCCTTGATGGTCCTGATGGTTTGGGGTTTAACTTCTAGGTCTGTGATACACCTTGAATTTATTCTTGTGCATGGGTGAGGTAAATGTCTTGTTTCATTTTTCTACATGGGGATATCCATTGTTTCCAGCACCACTTGTTAAAAAGGGCATCCGCTTCCCACTTGATCATCTTGCGACCCTTGATGGAGATCAGTTGTCTATATGCTGATGGTTTTATTCCTGGGCTTTCTATTCTTTTCCACTGGTCTGAGTGTCTGCCGTTGTGCCAGTACCATGCTGTTTTGACCACTGTAGCTGTGTAATAGGCATTAAAATTGGGTAAGGTGAGTCCTCCAACTTTGTCCTTCTTGAGTTCTCTACTAATTCTGGGTTTCTTCCCTCTCCATATGAAATTGGTGAACAGTTTTTCCAATTCCTTGAAAAAGGTTGATGATATTTGAATTGGTATAGCATTGTCATCTTTACTATGTTAAGCCTTCCAATTTGTGGAGGTTGCTTTGGGTTTCCTGTAGTAGGGT